CAGCAGCACCCAGGAGTAAAACACTCCGATGAACAGCCTGTCTTAGGAGGCACTGTGCACAGAGGACATCCAAATGACCTGCACAGCACGCAAAGGCGTAGTGAAGCCGGGCATGGCATGGGGGATCCTACACAGGCACTAAATAGCAGCATTCCCTTGCCCTCTGGGTTTCGGACTGACCCATGGGTACCAGCGTGGTCTAGTGAGGACCAGCAACTGTCTCTCTGTGCTGGGGGGGCCCTGCCAGCTGAGTCCGGCTTGAGATGGCAGGGAGCAGGGGAAGGAGAAGAAGGAGAGGAGATGAGGCAGATGGGAAAATCCGTTTTCCTTAGGAACCACTCTTTCAGGTTTGTGCTTGCACGTAAGGGCTGCACTAGAAGTGAAAATCCTACATTCCAAGTCTGACCAGCAATCATTTTGTCCCTCTGCAACGACTCAGGCTGTCTCTGCTCTGTGTCCTGGATTTTCCCTAGGTGTCCCAGTTCAAGGAGAACCTGTGCCAGGCCCCGCTAATTTGCATCGACGGAAATGTGCCTCTTCCCACTATCCAGTACGTCTGCCAACTAGCCAGAGAGTGGCAGCTCGCAGGTAAGGAGAACTCGCCCGGCCCTGGCCCTGTAGCTCCTAGCAGCGTCTGTGCCAAGACGCGCCGCACGCCCAGCGCGCTCGCCGCTGCTGCTTGCTGGAGATACCCGGTGTTACTCAGCACTCCTGTCTGTGCTCTGCTATGCCATTTTCAACAGATGAAACAATTCTGCTTTCTCTGAGTTTTTCTCATTCTGCAGCTGAAGCACACTGCCCGTAGCGTCGCTGCCGTAGCCCTTGGGCGCTGCCAGGAAGCCGGGGAAAGCTGCTCTCTTTGCCTTTAATCTCCAGGCAAGGGCAAATAGATGTGCTTCTACCAGTTTGAGCAGCAACATAGTTTGCTTCTCAGAATAAGTGCTAAAGCAGCTTTTGAGAGGATTTCTCTCCCTCTTCCTGTAAAATACATACCCTCCTCACCTGGTATGCTGGGGACCCTTCACAAGGCTTCCTAAGCCTTTGGAGTTACGCCTTCATTTTTAAAGGCAAATCCTGAAGGAGGCAATGTAGGAGGCAATGTTCTTAAAACCTGGAAGAGGTTCCACAACCAGCTAAGAGGAGCAACGAACCTGAAGTCTGATTATGTCACTCCAGAGGCAGAAGCAGCGGCGTCATGGCTGAGCACTGGAAAGGAAACTCTGGGAGACCTTATCCCAAGCGTGGGGGAAATAGTATCTCAGTATCTAATAGAGGGCACATCACCCCAGTTGGGCAGATCACACTAAGCCCTCTGCACTGCATCCTGGCTCTGATGTAGAGATGAACCACTAATTAATGCATTAACTAACCAATTGCAATGTTGTTTTGAAGTGTGCTATGAGCCAACAGATGAGAACAAGGCCTCTAAGCCGTTCCTCTCAGACAGCTGGAAAGCCCTCACATACATTTCCCCCAACCTGCAAGAGCTCAGAGCAATAAATCGGACCCTCGGGAACCCTCTGCCAGCAGGTATTGAACACTCAGCAGGGTCAGACACACTTTTAGATGACCTAGATCCTGAAGAAGAGCATTTTCTGCTCCAGCCCCCATTTCAGGCAATTTGGGTTATAACACAGTGGGGATTCACAAGCACTCTTGGTGTCTTCCACCTTACAGCCACCTCTGCGTGGGTTGTATGGCCCAGGCCGGGCAGATCATCTGTCAAAGAGCACAGTAGGTCTGGGACGGCTCCTTGGCCAAAAGCAGAGATCCCATTTGCCTCACTTCATCAGCTAATGAGGAACAATCTCTGCTTTGTAAACAAGTCTCTGAAGCGTGATGCTCTGAGGGCACCTGTCCCAACAGTACCACCCTTTGCAGAAATGAAATACCCCACCACATGCAGGTGGAAATCCAACAGCATTAAGACAAGGAAGTCATGCTTCAGGACAGTTTTTTGATCTCTACAGACACATGTTTAGTCCCATGAGGGGTGGTTTGCTCAGCATAGGATAGAGGTACGATATGGAAGTCTAACGTTGGAGAATTCCTTGTTTCCCTTGATTTAAAGAAAAAAAATTGTATCAACCACATTTCAGAAGTGCTCATAAATATTAGTGGTAATGCTCATACATAGCCTGCCAGCCCATAAAAAGCCCAGTCGAGGACCTTTAAAGTTATATCACAGTTTTTCCTCCCCGCTGTCAGAAGAGCTGCCGTCCAGGTTGGAGGACGTTGTCCAGACTGCCATGGCCCTGGCCCGCCCTTTGCTGGCCCACCTGCACTGTGTGGTGGTCACCCTTGGCGCTCACGGCATCCTCCTGTGCGGCAAGAGCCTGGGAGGGAGCGTCTCGCTTCATCCAGGAGCCCGCGAACAGGTAAGGGCATGGAAAGCAAACTCTGAGCTCTCAGTTGCTGTTTTTTGGGCCCACACAGCACCGTTGCTATTTCTGGTGGCATGGCAGCAGCGCCAGGAACATGGCATCACTGCTGGCAGATGCTCGTGTCTGGGGGGTGGAATACACAGCTCTGAAAGATAACCAAGTCGTCTGTCCGTATACTGCTGGCTCCTCGCAGCAGCGTTTACTGGCAGCTAGTTTTAAATGTGCTTACTCTGAATATTCATAAGTGCAAGCTTCATTTTCAGGGAGCTTCATTTATACCGCCGAGCTCTTTCAAAGTGGGAAAAAAGGTTGTTGCCTTTTTTTTTCCTCTTCCTTTTCTTTTTTTGGCATCATTGCCTGGCATCGGCCACACCAGGCCTTGACAGCTTGGGCGACTGCCACTACCTCATTACCTTCCCTTCTCTTACCCTGCAGACTGCCAGCCTCTGTGCCACCCACTACCCCGCCATCCACAGCAGCAGGGAGGAGATAGTCAACGTCTCAGGAGCCGGCGACAGGTATACTGCTCAATACTTTGCCTTCTCCAGCTAAATGTGGAAGGGCCATCATCGGATTTCTTTGAAATTCTGCTGCAAAGGCAAACGACACTCTACTGCTTGAGCAACAGACACTAAGGACACAAGAATGGGACTGGTTACTGTTCATTCCTTGCAGAGCTTGCTAAAAATGTCCCCCACAGCATCTTGGAAGCCAGTCTTGCCATTATTAGTTTTGCTTTTCTTCAGAATCATAGAATTATGGAATGGTTTGAGTTGGAAGTGACCTTTAAAGGCCATCTAGTCCAACCTCCCTGCAATGAGCAGGGACATCTTCAGCTAGATCAGGCTGCTCAGAGCCCAAGAGATGGTTTAAGATCCAAGCCTTTCATGGCCATCTAGTAGTTCTGAATTAGTCCAGGCTGAGCTGCTCAAAGCAAACTACCTTACACCAAACCTGTCTTACTACCGACCTACTTTGCTTCCACAACTCTCCAGTGGAAGTGGGACTGCCACTCAGTAGTTCAAAGCGCCCCATAAAAGCATTTTGTCAGGTTCTGCATTAGCCTCTGGCAGTAGCTCCTGCTTTGGAGGAGTCTGCTGTGTGATGCGCCTAGCTGTTCACCCAACGCTGGACACAGGAGCGGGAAATGACAGGTACTGTTCTTAGCCCCACTGATCAATTCTCAGTCTGTCAGAGTGATATTTCATTTTGCTCCTTGTTAACTTGTCAAACTATATGTAGTAGTCAGGGGTTTTTTTCTTCTTGCTTCGTATGCAACAATAATTGGTTCTATCCTTCCACTGCCTTGGGCTAGACCAAACGGCTGTACATGGCAGAGATTTCCTTTTATTTTTCTACTCTCACCTACCAACAACTCAACATAGCAACACTTCTTTTATGAGTGGGCAGAACGAAAAGTCATTTTATTGAAACTTACAGCATCCTCAGTATTTGACTTAGGATCAATCAGTAACTTCTGGCCAAGCTAGTTAACCCACTTTTAACACCAGGACACGCGCCTTGCGTCCCAAATCACCTCTGAGATGAGCTAACTGCAGCTGCAAGCTGGTCTTCTCCACAGAAGACCCAAGTGGTGCTCGGAGCAGTAAGTGTAACAGCTGGGGGGGTGGGAGGAACCCTCGGCATCAGCCTGTCTGAAGGAAAGCTCAGCTTTGCTCACTACGTCTAGCAGATGTGCCCAGCCTCTGCCAGCCCCTCTGGGGACACAGCCTCCCCCCTGCACCAGCTGCTCCGTACACAACTACCCCGTACCACAGGACAATTATTTCTAGAGGTTACGGTAAACATCTTCTTTAGGGTTCCCTTACCCTTTTAAAATGGAAGAGCAAAGGTGAGATAAAGTGTGCCACTGCCAAACACCTCCACCGAGTTACACAGAAGAGCTTTGTTTTTGCTTCTACAACCAGCTGAAAGCTGGGGTCCTGTTACTGCTCCCGTTGCTGAAGTAATATCGGTCTGGAATCCCCAGCATCCCCAGGCCCACCTGGGAACTCTCCCAGCCCTCTCGTTCATCCAGGGGTGCCCTTCCTGGTAGCCCCGGCTGATCCACTGAGCTGCAGAAATCCCCGTTCTGCAGAGTAAGAGCTCCAAAACAGGCTGGAAATGCCGGGACGCTACATCACTGTACGTGCCCTCTCCGCAGCGTATAAACCGGCGAAGTCGCCCGAGCCCGGCCTGTCGGCACTTTGGAGGGGCTGCGCAGCAGGGCACGACCCAGGGCTACGACGCACTCACAGCTCGGCCCCCGTGAACCCCCCCTCCACTTCTGAATCACAGAACGGTAGGGGTTGGAAGGGACCTCTGTGGGTCATCTAGTCCAACCCCCCTGCCGAAGCAGGGTCACCCAGAGCAG